CATTTGTACAGTAGAGCAGTGTTTCTCAAATAAGGGTATGTGTACCCCTAGGGATACTTTGGAGTATGTGATTTTTTTACAAAAAAAAACTAATTTAAAAATATGTCATGCATAATTCCTACAATAATTATACTATAATAATGAATGAATTAGCCTAAGTGATGGATTCTACATTTGAAATGTAGCATTTAAATGTTTTGGTTTAAAACGAAAATAGAAACCTCCACTTCAGTAGCACCTGTATACACCAAACCTTCCAGTCTTGTACCTAGTTATATTATAAAGACATTAACAAAGGGATTTGTAAATATATTATTCCTAGCCTGGTTTATATAACATTTTATTCCAAAAAACATGGGGAAAATTTTTAAGGCTATTGGCAGTAGGCTATATTCTGATTTACAGGGATAACAAAAAGTAGATATCCTGTAATGTTTTCCCCATCTAATATGTGAACACAATGAAAAAATAATTTTGAACCTGGCCTTATATAGGTTCTATATAGGTTTATATAGGGTGGAACGGTACACAGAAGTCACGGTTCGGTTCATACCTCGGTTCAGGGATCACGGTTCGGTACGATTTCGGTACAATGGAGGGAAAAGCAAAACAAAAATGCAGAAGGCATTGTATTTTTTAAATAAGTTTTATTAATAAAGGCATAGAACCAGTTTATTTGTAGTGCACTGACAATAGTTTTATATAATTCGTTTATTAATTAAATTAATAAAAAGACAAAAAGACCTTGCGATATGTTTGGTAATTGTACCTGAATTAATTTAAAATTAATTTGCTATATTTCAGATCAATATATTTGTTTTCCTTAATTTTAATTAACATTATTAATTAACAATGTAACATTATTCTCATCTGAATTATAAATAATTGATTTCTGTATAAAATAATATTACCATTAAAAACGCATTAGATTTTCTTTTTTAATCAATGTAGAATGTGTGAGATTAGTGCTCCGGGGACAAGAAATGAAAACCAATGCGATATGATGAATGTCTAAAAGATGGGACCCACAGACTGTTTTGAAATGTAGTTGGATAAATATGTTTTGCTTTTAAAACAGTGTGTGTGTGTGTGAGAGAGAGAGAGAGAGAGAGAGAGAGAGAGAGAGAGAGAGAGAGAGAGAGAGAGAGAGAGAGAGAGAGAGAGAGAGAGAGAGAGAGAGAGAGATTTTGGTTTGGTGACAGTTGTAGGTTACAGTTTGACAAGAGATTACAGTGTGACAAAAGCACAATGTTGTGTTTTATTGCGAGTGTACACACATATAAGTAAACACTTTGCAGGTTTAATGATCTGTATGAACAAAATGACGGAGTATGTTTTTTATGTTTCCACTGTTCAATCGCGGCCGCGCCTCTCTCTCACACACACAAACACACACACTCCAGCATTGCAATCTTGACATCGCAGCCTGTTCATTATGCGGTCACACCAAACCCGAATAGAGCGTTAAATTCGCGTCTATCGCGTCTAGTTCGACGCTAGTCCAAAGCGAATAGGACGCGCGTATAAAGCCAACGTTTGAAGTGAACGCGCGTTCAGAGCTAAGCCGATGGTACAGATTATGTGTCCCTAAAGAACCCGCGTATCTAACAGTAGTTCCGCATTACATTAATTAATTTTCACTTGAGTTTTATTTATTTTTATACCGTGTATTCTCAGTGTAAATTCGTGCACCGAACCGTGACGCCCGTACCGTTTCGGTTCGGTACGAATACATGTACCGTTCCACCCCTTAGTGCATATTTAATTAGATAATGCCTCATTTGTATATTTAAACATTAAATTACAGAAAACATGTGAAACATTTTTTTTTTCATCTTGTAACGTTAATCAACTGGTAAAGTTTCATGGTGATATCTGCTAGTTAAAAAAAAGCTTTATATTAAAAAAAAAAAAAATTATACCAAAAATATTTTGCACTGGTTAGGGGGTATTTGGCTTAAAAAAGCAATTCAAAAGGGGTACAATTTTGAAAAAAGCTTGAGAAACACTGCGTAGAGAAGACCCGGGAATTCTAACGTACACAACATAGACGCCACCATCTTCTAACGTTAAACTGTGTTACACAGTTCCACGTGCACAAAATGGAATCGAACATCATCCAACATCTTCAACTTATAAATATATAATACCCGTACACTAAACACTTACATACTTGATTATCTACATAGCTGCAGCACTATTTGGGCATCAACTTAACTTTAACTCAACTTTTCAGTTGAGTACGTTGGCTGTATGAGGGAAACGATAGCTGTAGCCAACTTTAAGGTAACGTTAGCTAGCCAGCCAGCTGAATTTACTGGCAAACGTTAGCTAAGGTCAGCTAACATTAACGTTATGCTTTCTTCTTTACAACTAGCTACATGTAACGAACGTTAGTGGTAACTTACAAATAAGTCCCGATATAATGTTAGCTTGATCTAACTGTAGCTAACGGGCGCTAGCGTTACGTTAGCAAATGCTGATCAGCCAACTTTAATCAGCTTAAAGTGTCACTTTCAAATGCACGTTATTAGCTAGCGACAGTATTACTCACCTCTGAATTTCTGCGCTTCTCCTTCTGTCATAGTTAATCCACCTTCTATCAATGTTTGGATCAGCTCATCTGAGGATAAAGTTGGCAAGGCCATTGTTGAGCTGTCAAGCGTCCTGCAGGCTCCAGCGACTGCCGCCAATCCGAGTGAAAGAAAGAGCCGTGACCACTGACCTAGAACGCGAATACCGCCGGCGCGAAAAAACAGCCAGTCATAATAGGCCTATTTCACAAAATGGCGGCTGAGACCGGAAGATTCCGGAATATTCTGGTCGCGCCGCCGCCCTCTACGATCCCCATTCATTCCACTGATCTAGAATGACATTATATAGATCAGTGATTCATTCTTAAAATAGTCTGTGAACAGTTTGTTTTCTCTCAGTCATTAATTTATCTTCCAAAAGTAAGAATAGCAGATGTTGTCCGTTTTGTTTATAGTTTTCAGGGAGCTGTGAAAAGATCGAAATTGGACAAAGGTTACAAATTCTTGACGTTTGCTTACATGAAAAGTTCCATTGATTTAAATGGCATGACACTTGATTACTAAGCGCACACTTACTATAGCTAGACTAAAATAAATAAATTGAAATTATGTCTGATTGTAGCCAGGCTATTGTGAAATCTAGTGGCTTTTGTTGAAATTTTATGTTATTAAGTGTTAGTTGTCCAGCAGGAGATTGCAGCAATTTTCCACTAGATTATGGCTAATTTTTCATGTTACCACCATGAATGAAACTAAGAATTGTAAGTTACATACAGTGAATCTGACCTAACGTTGCTAGTAGGTCTAATAATGAAATCAAGGCAAATAATAAAAAAAATGGTTAGACTAAAAACTTTAATGAAGTGAGTATGTTTAAAAAAAATCATGATGTTACAAAATCACATTTTACTGTCTGGGAAAAGAAAATATATTTCCCTATATATGAGTGATACATATATTAAATGGTTTAATATTTGAAAATATACAGAATATTGTGTTAATATATTACAATAGGCTATATTGAATAATATTAAGGATTTGCCACTTTTCATATATTTAAAATGTGAGACACTATATTTACTAATATATCATAATGTATGTAATTTTATATTCAGTAATAGGCCTACACTTCATAATATAGATGTATATGTGATCAGATATGGTACTCCATGTGTAATATATTGCAGATATGTTTACTCATGCAGCATTAACTCACATAAAGAAATATATAATGTGTTATTTATTTTTTTATTTACATTATAAATGTTTAATTTTTTCAAAGTAGTTATCAAAAACACAAGCACACCTGCATGTACTGAAGTGTTTAGCCAAAGACTATCACTGTGCCGAGGAGTGCACAGCCATTATTTCTTATGGTATTCGGCCAATCGTCAACCTTATACATTCACATTTAAATGTGAACATGTATGTGCAATATAATGTACACAATAAAGGAGCCCAGCCGCCCTAGCGCTTTGGAAAAATTGAGAACGCGGCGCGCCTCAATAAGCGCCTAGCTTTTGCTACGCGTTTTTAGGCGCTATATCATATGTGAATCCGCCCTTATTCATCACTAAATTCACTTATGAGAACGTTTTAGGCGAGAAATTACCTGTTTAGATTTAGAATATAGGCAGTCTTGTGAAAATTGATGCCGAATTGACTATTTGCCTCAAAGTTTTCGGAGTTGAGAAGCTCCATGAAGTGAGGCGACAGCCAGCAGGCGCCTGCCCCGGCCGCTAGCTCGTCGCTCGGCCAGTCCTGCTCAGAGACCCCGCTGGCGCTGTGAGCTGGAGGTCTCTCAGACCGTTCTCGTAAATACGAGGCTTTTATTTCGCCGTGGACGGTTCGTTTGTTTAAATATCACAACACATGTCCAGATAAACGGGAACCTGTGGTTAACTGTCTTTTCGGAGTTAAACTCCACAAGTTGGCCGATCGTCACACACACACACGGCCACAGCGCAGCAGGCAGAGGTGGGGGAGAGAGAAATACCCGTTTCTCTTCGGCAGACTTGTTTACAAATTATGACAAAGGGTATCAGTCTTAGAAAAGGCACAAGCTGCTACCCCAGAGGATTGTGTACCCTGTCACTTGAAAAGTATACTTCTTAGTACCCCACAGGAAGTGTACCCTTTGACTTGAATAAGGTACTTTTTTGTGCCTTACATGATGTGTACCAGAAAGGTACTTCTTGGTACCCATGGGAACAAGATAGGACCTTTGATGGTACATTTGTGAATGTTGTACCTTAACTATTACTTTATATGACAATGTACCTTTTCAAAGGGTACCTATATGTACCTTTCACCATGCATATTTCATTGTGTACCCCTTTTCTTTGGAAAGGTACTTTTTGGTACTCAGCTGGATACATGTTTGTACCTTTGCTGGCACATTTGTGAAATTTATACCTTAAAGTACTTAATTGTACCCTCACTGTACCTTTATTTCTGAGAGTGTACTGCTGGTCCTCTTTTTCACTCTTTTAAGGCTTTGTGCCCTGCAGTCAATGTGAGGAGACATTATTTGAGCGAAATTTCCAAATTTGTGGATCTGCATCACAGTATCACAATGTGAGTTGAATTGAAAAAGTAATAATCAGTGCACAATAGCCTTTCCCAGTGCTTTTATTGGCCTCATTCAACACTATCTTTACCCATAAACCCACTGGTTGGTTGCCTTTTCCTCTGCCTCGGCTTTTCGTTTCTTCAACAGGTCTCTGTCTCTCAGTCGCAGCCGAATTCCACCTACCAAACAAACAAATCACTCAGTCCTTTGCTGTTTTGCCTGCTGCAGGTTTTAGTTTACTTTGTAACAGTATAGCACCAACCAAAAGTATTCAGAATTCAGGTCATGAGTGTATAAAAGAGCTGCTCAATGCATGTTTCAGACTTTGATATATGATCAGTATATCATGGCAATTATTATGGTTCCAGAGCATTTCAAATATCTCATTGCAACACAAAAATAAACAACTAGTACACAAATATCTTATAAACCGCAGGGGGAAAAGTCTTACAATCCTTAAGAACATATATAGGCTACTCAAAAAGTTTTCTGTTCTTGATGTTGAATGTTTCATCTAAACCATTTTAGTTTAGTTTTTTTGAAAACTTAAACGGTCACTAATATACAATCTTAATGAATTGATAATGAACAAATTCAGGGCATCAAGCTGTTCTTAAAAGTGATTAATTTTGAAGTTTTGATACAAAAGGCATACCTTCATCGGAATCTTTTACTTCTGACAGCAGAATCTCTTTCTCCAACATCTCTTCCATTTTGTTGTCCTGTCACATGAATATGAAGTATTGAAATGACAGGGCTGAAAAAAATATGTGCGCATTTACTCTTCCTGCCGCTAAGAGAATAATTATCTGGTTAAACATTACCGTAGTGCTGGGAGAGTTCTTGCAGTTGTGCTCTTATCTTATTTGCAAAGGTGGAGGACTTGGCACAATACTCACAGAAGAAAGTAAAAAAAGGAGGTCATGATGCTGGCTGCCTGTGCACTTTTGTGACTGTTTGCCTGTCGTCATGAGAGATGACCGCTATTCTTGACTTGGTCAAGGGTCATAGACAAACTAACATGTAGCTAAATGATCAATATAGGCCAAAACTAATAAAAATTCATTTATAGGTTTAAATGAATATAAAGTAGATTGACTTAGACAAAGAATTGTATACTGTGAAGATCTATCTTGAAGAGACAACTTGTAAGTAACTTTATATCACAGGAGTTGAGCAAGGTTTTTCACTAAAGACACTAAAGTCCAAGACGGACGCCAGGTGCTTCAGACACTGTATCCCAGCTAACAATTTTTGGAACATTTTGGGAAAGTTCCCCGAATATATACATCCTAACATTCTCTATTTGCTATAGTCAGACAAGTTTTCTGTAGCCTTCAGTTTAGGTTTTGAGAACGTTCTCTTAACCTAACCTTCTACATATCAGTTTTCATGTCTTCTATTCCTTTGTTTATTGTTTGGTGAACAAAAGTCATGGATCTCATAAAACAGGATGTTTTAGGAGATTACAAGAATTTAATTATTTAAATGATAAAAAGGTAGCCTATATGGCTAATGAATCCACACACTGACTCTCTAATTCTTAGTATTGTATTTTGAAGACGTTTAAAAAAGAAAACCCACCCACAATAAATCAATTTTGAAAGAGAAAAAAACCATGCTGACATTAAAGGCATTTCTGTATTTCCATGTTATTTGAATACTCAAAAAGTATAAAGCTCATGCCCTCTCATTTTATCTCTGCTGCTCACTGGGTGTGTTACAATCAGGTCCAAACATATTGAGTTCTGCAGTCCCGCCATTTAGATACTGTGCGTGACTTCTCCATGAACAAATTAACATAGACAATTCATCATTTATATTAAAATGATTTAACATTTATTTATAAATTCATTACACTTTTTGCAACAAATTACTTTCCCCTAGCACTTTGTTGCATGCCATTAAAATTAAATACTTCATTTTCTTCTCTCCCACTGGTATAATGTGGTTACCTCCACCATCATAACAAAAAAACAGCAACAGCGAACCGCATTTTAATATCAAGACGCCTTCAGAACAGCAGAAGCCTGTATGTGGGATATTGCATTATTCTTCATGAAGAAAAGCCTACAGTTCTTTGTAGGATAAAATACATTTTTAAAGATGTCAGTAGTCAGAGAGGCCATGGAAGGAGTTTGAATTCTATACTGAAACTGGTCTTGTTTTGCAGTTTATTTTGGGTTGTTAACAAAATAAACCTCCTGGAGCACTGAAATATCATAAGGGAAAAGTGTTTGCACCACATGCACCGAGTACAACATATTCTTTGGCCATTATGGAACAGAGCAATCATTGGTTTAATGATACCAATAAGATGGCTGACCCAACAAATTTCCTACCTTGTTGGCATAGAGTGCTTGTTAAAACTGGGTCAGGGGGTTTCATAATTCTGTACTTTTATAGTATTGACCAACTAACCTGCAGGGAAACTGTCTGTCTAGGTGAGCTTTGACCACTGTTCTTCTTTGTAAATACAGTTTGTTCATGTCTGGCTAATGAAGTCATTATTTGTTGTGAACAGTTGTGAACAATGGAGTTGCGATTGACTCTGTGGCCTCTTTGTTCCTTGCTGCCTTGTGTGCTTATAGTTTGCTTACATAGGACTGTTTTTTATTTAAAGTATGACATCCATTTGCATATGCATATGCTTTTGTAATTGTTATTTAGTTACCCTTGGTTTCACTTAATTTTTGTCACAACGTAGAAGCAAAATGATGCCCTCTCCTGGCAAGATCCTAGCAAGTGAACTTGTTGAACAGCAAACAATAATTATAACCTTATAACATTAACACATATAATGCAAATAGAAAAAAAGACACAAATATGTTTTAATTTTGTAATATATTGTATAAATTATATCACCCCGATTAAAAAAAATCATACTGTTTTGAGGCATATTACTATAACACACACAGATTATTTCTCTGCAATAGCAACATGGGGGGAAAAAAATTAATTTAGAATAATTTAAGTTGGTGTATATAGTCTAGTGTATGAAGTGATTTGCTTCCCAGACACTGTTAACCTAATGAAATAAATATGGAAAGAATACAACAAAGTATGCATAAGGGAAAATCAAGTATAACATTATATATATATATATATATATATATATATATATATATATATATATATATATATATATATTGAATATCAATATAGTTGATGAGAGAACACTCCATTTGACAATATTTGGAAAAAAAATGAATATCTATCTAATATAATTTCTTTAGTGAAACGTTTAGGATACATTTAGGATTTAAGATCTTGCTGTCTTTTTGCAGATATTGAATAATAAAATAGCTATCAAATTGGCTGTCTGAGCTAGAATAACTAACTTGATGTAACAAGGAAAATAAAATGTTGATGTTTACACGTTTTAACGCAGATATGCCATACAAAAATAAGGTCATTTTGTCCCAGACAGAAAAACAGGGTTCTGCTTCTTTCCCCAAGATGATGCATGAATGTGTATTTAAAAGCCATAATAAACATTGTTTATTGATACGACAATAAATGACATACCAAATATATGGAACCTTTCCAACCCATTTTACTGTAAGTACAAAATGTTGACAAACTTCTCATGTCACATAGAGGCTACTGTAATGCAGCACTGCTGTCGTTGATCTTGTTTGTGTGGCTGCAGTGCGTGTCGTTGGCCAGAGATGGCGCTATTGAGTATATATTTGTTTCAGTGCCGTTTCCCTCCATGGTTTCTGCTCTCCCAGAGTAACTTGGCGCTGGGCTCTGATCATTATACAGTCCTATATTCTCCCTCCATTAAGGCATCTTTCTACCTTTTGGGCTGAACAGAAATTCCACCAGAACCCAAGAGGGAAGAGTCCAACTTTTGAGGGCGATATGGACATGAAAAAGAGGATTCATTTGGAGCTGAGGAACAGGACACCATCTGATGTGAGTAATTTTGAGCCAAACCTTTAGTTTTGTGCCCAGCCATGCTAGCTGGGCTACTTTCTACTTCAACTGACCTGTGTGTAGTAGTTTAATGGTAAGCACATGGGTGTAATACCCCCGGCACAGAGAAAGTAACGTACTGCGTGTATCTTCACAGCATTAATGTTGTCCATCCGTCTTGTTTTGAAATGAAAGGATCCTGACTGTGTAACGTTAAGCTATAACTTACTGAGTAACGTTAGTTTAGAAAGCTGAAGGCATTATTTGCAGCATTTTATGCCCCCCATGCTTGATGTGTGTATTCATGATCTAGCATGCTTTTTATGCTTAATATTTGCTCGGTTTAACATCGGCGTGGTACGATATGGATGGGATGGTTTATTTCACCGTGGTGGCCATGTTTGTTGCTAACATGAGGCGCCTTTTATCACAACCACTTAAACGCTAAAGTAATAACGTTAAACCAGATATATCTGAAGATAACCATACACTAACACACTTTCTTAAATACGGTCATATTTTGGTCTCCATCACACTAAAACAAAGCTCTTCCTTTCCTACGATGTTCAGGAAGAGTAATAATACCACCGGTTCAATAAATAAATATGTAATTTGACGAACATACAGTCGCATTATTAATTTTATTTTTAAGGGCACCGAGGCTTGTCGATTATATGAATAAAGTGATATTTTATTTTAAAAAGTGTCTTATTAAACTGCAAAGAGATTATCAAAAGTAGTCTTTAACTATGTATTATTAACACATGTATTTGTTATTAATGAGATGGTGTTGAGTTTTATTTGTTAAATTGTTACTCGCTGCTGCGAGACACCGATTCCCGCCATTACTCCCCACGCGCCTCTACCGATTAAACTAACGCGTATACTCAATAAATACTCGCGCTGGTGATTTTCAAACATTTTAAAGATATAGTAAATAGCACGACGTCTGCAAAGACGGAACGAGCGACTGAGTAAGAAGAAGCTAACGTTACATGTGCTAGTTTGGTTGGACAACCCGGTGGAAATGTATAAATTCAGTTATAAAATCAACAAAACATCGCGTAAAATATGATCATGTAATCCAAGGAACCGCATAGAATCAGGTTTTCGAACGCAGCGTTTGAGTTTTGTTTAATATGTAGAGTTTTCCTGTCAATATAGTGTATCTGAGGAGGCGCCATGTTGTCATGAGAGAAAGAAACTCTCCATTTTTGTCTCACTAATTTCCGCTGTCTTCGTCTTTCGCAGCAGGAATACGCCATCGACATATCGCTTCCATCTTACACAGGGGCTTAAGTACCCTCCATTTGCAGTATGTCACACAAAATTTCACTAAAAAGACGGTGGTGTCTTTCGGATATGTCCATGTTGTCTGGCTGTCGGCGTGTAATCTGCTGTTTTCTCATTGGTGACTCGCTGCGACAGTGAGCCATCGGGCCACAACAGCAACCGCTTAAACAGTGTTCAATGATTTTCACGTTAGATTCTTTCCTAAAATCTATATAAACATTTACATGAACATAAGGCAACTCAAAACGCCCCACCACGTTGTAAATACAAGTTGTTTAAAAACACATGTTTTTTTTTTTCAGTTGAGAAACTTTTTTTTTAACCAGCATAGTTTGTCGCCTCCATTGAGCATGTCCATGTTAGCCAGCGTGTCCAACACCCCTGTTTGATAAAAATTAGTTGCATTTCATGTTATTGTTGTTGAACCTTATTAACACGTTAGTTACAGTATTTACATTTTTGCTCTTATGTTGTATCCTTCTAGGTACGAGAACTTGTCCTTGACAACTGCAGATCAAATGAAGGGAAAATTGAAGGCCTCACAGCAGAATTTGTTAATCTTGAATTTCTAAGTTTGATCAATGTTGGTCTTCTCTCAGTTTCCAACCTTCCCAAAC